ACGTAACTCGGGCTGTAGGAGAGCTACAGTGCTCGTGCAGAAGACAATTCAGAAGCATCTGGGGCGTTCCGTGGGCTGAAATACTATTCGTTCTCTGCATTTTTTCGATATTATATATTGTCAGGAAGCTCTACGAGTCCCCCGGCGGTAAGGAAGGTTGACGGTTTACCGCCGGCGCCCAGTTGGTCGACCCGACCAGAAAAGACAAAGTGACAACTTTTGGGTGGTTTTGCGAATATTCGAAAGATATTTAACCATTTCTTTTGAGAAACCAGATTTTTCGCACCTGTAGAAGGTTATCAGACCCTCCGCGTCTTAATATGAGCTCTCTAGGGGCACTTTTATTACCAAAACATTTGGAGGACCCCTCCACAGGGGGGTCGGGGCGGGACCCGGGGAGCTGTGTCCGAACTCGTGTCCGAATGCGTTTTTCGCAAACAGTCACACACTTCGTGCTCTTCGACCTCCCAGAACTCCATTCCCGGGCCACATTCTGAATGCCCGGAGCCAACTATAGGCCACTTCGTGCTCTTCGACTTCCCAGAACTCCATTCCCGGGCCACATTTTGAATGCCCGGAGCCAACTGTAGGCCACTTCGTGTTCTTCGAGTTCCCAGAACTCCATTCCCGGGCCACATTTTGAATGCCCGGAGCCAACTGTAGGCCACTTCGTGCTCTTCGAGTTCCCAGAACTCCATTCCTGGGCCACATTTTGAATGCCCGGAGCCAACTGTAGGCCACTTCGTGGTCTTCGAGTTCCCAAAACTCCATGCCCGGGAATGATTTTGAATGCCCGGAGCCAACTGTAGGCCACTTCGTGTTCTTCGAGTTCCCAGAATTCCATTCCCGGGCCACATTTTGAATGCTGAGGCAGGCTGAGGCTGAGGCTGAGGCAGGCTGAGGCTGAGGCAGGCTGAGGCTGAGGCCGAGGCTGAAGGCAGACTGAGGCTGAGGCTGAAGCAGGCTGAGGCTGAGGCAGGCAGGCTGAGGCTGAGGCTGAGGCAGGCTGAGGCTGAGGCAGGCTGAGGCTGAGGCTGAGGCTGATGCAGGCTGAGGCTGAGGCAGGCTGAGGCTGAGGCCGAGGCTGAAGGCAGACTGAGGCTGAGGCTGAAGCAGGCTGAGGCTGAGGCTGAGGCAGGCTGAGGCTGAGGCTGAGGCAGGCTGAGGCTGAGGCTGAGGCTGAGGCTGAGGCTGAGGCTGAGGCTGAGGCTGAGGCTGAGGCTGAGGCTGAGGCTGAGGCTGAGGCTGAGGCAGGCTGAGGCTGAGGCTGAGGCTGATGCAGGCTGAGGCAGGCTGAGGCTGAGGCCGAGGCTGAAGGCTGAGGCTGAGGCTGCAGGCTGAGGCTGAGGCTGAGGCAGGCTGAGGCTGAGGCTGAGGCTGAGGCAGGCTGAGGCTGAGGCTGAGGCTGAGGCTGAGGCTGAGATGCAGGCTGAGGCTGAGGCAGGCTGAGGCTGAGGCGAGGCTGAGGCTGAGGCTGAGGCTGAGGCTGAGGCTGAGGCTGAGGCTGAGGCTGAGGCTGGCTGATGCTGAGGCAGGCTGAGGCTGAGGCTGAGGCTGAGGCTGAGGCAGGCTGAGGCTGAGGCCGAGGCTGAAGGCAGACTGAGGCTGAGGCTGAAGCAGGCTGAGGCTGAGGCTGAGGCAGGCTGAGGCTGAGGCTGAGGCTGAGGCAGGCTGAGGCTGAGGCTGAGGCCGAGGCTGAAGGCAGCTGAGGCTGAGGCTGAGGCAGGCTGAGGCTGAGGCTGAGGCTGCAGGCTGCAGGCTGAGGCTGAGGCAGGCTGAGGCTGAGGCCGAGGCTGAAGGCAGACTGAGGCTGAGGCTGAAGCAGGCTGAGGCTGAGGCTGAGGCTGAGGCTGAGGCTGAGGCTGAGGCAGGCTGAGGCTGAGGCAGGCTGAGGCTGAGGCTGAGGCTGATGCAGGCTGAGGCTGAGGCAGGCTGAGGCTGAGGCCGAGGCTGAAGGCAGACTGAGGCTGAGGCTGAGGCTGAGGCAGGCTGAGGCTGAGGCTGAGGCAGGCTGAGGCTGAGGCTGAGGCAGGCTGAGGCTGAGGCTGAGGCTGAGGCTGAGGCTGAGGCTGAGGCAGGCTGAGGCTGAGGCAGGCTGAGGCTGAGGCCGAGGCTGAAGGCAGACTGAGGCTGAGGCTGAAGCAGGCTGAGGCTGAGGCTGAGGCAGGCTGAGGCTGAGGCAGGCTGAGGCTGAGGCTGAGGCAGGCTGAGGCTGAGGCTGTGACTGCGACTGCCGTTGCCACTGCGACTGTCATCGCGAATGCGACTACGACTGCGAAAACAGCAGAATTCTACAACTGGATTCTCATCCGAATCTTAAGGGGAATGCTTCCAGATATGCTCCTACACATCGCTGTTAGGTTGCTTTGCCGGGATAATTACTTAACAGCTTTTGCTGATAGGTTTCTAGTGGTGTCAAAAGAGAGCAGCAGATGACTCCACAGGGGGGTCGGGGCGGGACCGGGGGAGCTGTGTCCGAACTCGTGTCCGAATGCGCTTTTCGCAAACAGTCAGACACTTCGTGCTCTTCGACCTCCCAGAACTCCATTCCCGGGCCACATTTTGAATGCCCGGAGCCAACTGTAGGCCACTTCGTGCTCTTCGACTTCCCAGAACTCCATTCCCGGGCCTCATTTTGAATGCCTGCAGCCAACCGTAGGCCAATTCGTGCTCTTCGAGTTCCCAGAACTCCATTCCCGGGCCACATTTTGAATGCCCGGAGCCAACCGTAGGCCACTTCGTGTTCTTCGAGTGCCCAGAACTCAATTCCCGGGGATCATTTTGAATGCCCGGAGCCAACTGTAGGCCACTTCGTGCTCTTCGAGTGCCCAGAACTCCATTCCCGGGCCACATTTTGAATGCCCGGAGCCAACTGTAGGCCATCTCGTGCTCTTCGAGTTCCCAGAATTGTATTCCCGGGCCACATTTTGATGCTGATGCAGAGGCTGAGAATGGTGATGCTGATGAGGCTGAGGCTGCAGGCTGAGGCTGAGGCTGAGGCTGAGGCTGAGGCTGAGGCTGAGGCAGGCTGAGGCTGAGGCTGAGGCTGCAGGCTGAGGCTGAGGCAGGCTGAGGCAGACTGAGGCTGAGGCTGCAGGCTGAGGCTGAGGCTGAGGCTGAGGCTGAGGCAGGCTGATGCTGAGGCAGGCTGAGGCTGAGGCTGAGGCTGATGCAGGCTGAGGCTGAGGCAGGCTGAGGCTGAGGCCGAGGCTGAAGGCAGCTGAGGCTGAGGCTGAGGCTGAGGCTGAGGCTGAGGCAGGCTGAGGCTGAGGCAGGCTGAGGCTGAGGCTGAGGCTGAGGCAGGGCTGAGGCTGAGGCAGGCTGAGGCTGAGGCCGAGGCTGAAGGCAGGCTGAGGCTGAGGCTGAAGCAGGCTCAGGCTGAGGCTGAGGCAGGCTGGGGCTGAGGCTGAAGCAGGATGATACTGAGGCAGGCTGAGGCTGAGGCAGGCTGAGGCACAGAGGCTGAGGCTGAAGGCAGACTGAGGCTGAGGCTGAAGCAGGCTGAGGCTGAGGCTGAGGTAGGCTGAGGCTGAGGCTGAGGCAGGCTGATACTGAGGCAGGCTGAGGCTGTGACTGCGACTGCCACTGCCACTGCGATTGTCATCGCGAATGCGACTGCGACTGCGAGAACAGCAGAACTCTACAACTGGATTCTCATCCGAATGTCCGAATGCGTTTTTCGCAAACAGTCACACACTTCGTGCTCTTCGACCTCCCAGAACTCCATTCCCGGGCCACATTCTGAATGCCTGGAGCCAACTGTAGGCCACTTCGTGCTCTTCGACGTCCCAGAACTCCATTCCCGGGCCACATTTTGAATGCCCAGAGCCAACTGTAGGCCAGGTCGTGCTCTTCGACTTCCCAGAACTCCATTCCCGGCGTACATTTTGGATGCCCGGAGCCAACCGTAGGCCACTTCGTGCTCTTCGATTTCCCAGAACTGCATTCCCGGGCAACATTTTGGATGCCCGGAGCCAACTGTAGGCCATTTCGTGGTCTTCGAGTTCCCAGAACTCCATTCCTGGGCATGATTTTGAATGCCCGGAGCCAACTGTAGGCCACTTCGTGTTCTTCGAGTTCCCAGAACTTCACTCCTGGGCAACATTTTGATGCTGAGGCAGGCTGATGCTGAGGCTGAGGCAGGCTGAGGATGAGGCAGGCTGAGGCTGAGGCCGAGGCTGAAGGCAGACTGAGGCTGAAGCAGGCTGAGGCTGAGGCTGAGGCTGAGGCAGGCTGAGGCTGAGGCTGAGGCAGGCTGATGCTGAGGCAGGCTGAGGCTGAGGCTGAGGCTGATGCAGGCTGAGGCTGAGGCAGCCTGAGGCTGACGCCGAGGCTGAAGGCAGACTGAGGCTGAGGCTGCAGCAGGCTGAGGCTGAGGCTGAGGCAGGCTGAGGCTGAGGCTGAGGCAGGCTGAGGCTGAGGCTGTGACTGTGGCTGCCGTTGCCACTGCGACTGTCATCGCGAATGCGACTACGACTGCGAGAACAGCAGAATTCTACAACTGGATTCTCATCTGAATCTTCAGGGGAATGCTTCCAGATATGCTCCTACACATCTCTGTTCGGTTGCTTTGTCGGGATATTTTTTGTTCTTCTTCATATATGTACACATATAAATAGGAATATAAGAAAATTGTTGTTGTTATTATTATTATCGTTATTATTATTATTATTATTATTATTATTATTATTATTTTCGTATTCTATCATTTATATTATAATAAAGCAGGTAACTGCGTTTTCACATAATTCAGAATTCGAGTTCTCGGAAGTCCGAATTTTGGGAAACGCAATTTCCTTTGAAAACCGCACCCGATGGCCCCGAATTGCGTTTCCCATAATTCCGAATTATGGGAAACGCAAGTGTGGCTCATTGAGATTTTAATTTAACAAATTGCATTTCCCATAATTCAGAATTCGAATTATCGGAATTCCGCATTATGGGACACGCAATTTCCTTTTCAGAAACATCATTAAATGGGCCAGAATTGCGTTTCCCATAGTTTTCTCGCGCTGCGCGGCGCAGCGCCTGGACCCCGCCCGCAGGCGGGTTGCGGCGGCGCGCGGGCCTGATGCCCGCTGGGCCGCCGGCCGAGCCTAGCAGCTGCGGCTGGCGCCGTGCAGCACCCGGTGCTGGCGGCCTCGCCGCGCCCCCCGGCCATGGGAAGGAAGAGGGCGTTCCCAGTGGAGATCGGCCTTCCGAAGCTTCGGGCAGCCCTCAGGAAGCCGGCCGCAGCAGAGCTCCCCAGATCGAGTCCGAATAGATATAAGCAGATCGCGCGGGCAACCGGGACCAAAGTAGAGAAATGTTCCTGGACCAAGTTGCGACACTATTTCGGGAAGTACGCGAAGGGGGAGACGCAGCAGCAAGTGACAGCAGCGATCCTGGCTACCCTGGTCGTGGCCGTCGAGGCGCGGCGGCTGCTGGCGGGCTCCCTCGCGGACGCGCCCTTCCAGACCCGCTTCCTCGACGTCGGTGGCGGCGCCATCACCCAGGCCCTGGAGGCCAAGGCGCAGGGGGGGAATACCCTAGGGTCCACTATAGACGCTATGCACTGTCATAACGTCCGCATCGTCCATGACAGGCCCTTCGAGCCCCTCCAGCGGCTCACGCGTGCAGAGGCGGGCATCGGCGACGTGGACAAGCTCCGATCAGTCGCCATGACGGTGGCGCTGAATGGAAGCGGCGTGCTGGACCTCCTGCAGCGCACGGGCGGCAGGGCCCCCGGCTCCGCGGGGGAACTTGAGACCTTCCTCCGCGAGGCGTACGCCCAAAGGGTGCAGCCATACTCAGTGCGGCACCTGCCCCAGCGGGCCTTGCGGGACCCCATCATGGCGCTGCTGGGGAAGCCCCTGTCGAAGGCCCGGGAACGCACCTACGTCCGTACCTGCATGCAGGGACTCAACGCCTGGATACCTGCAGGTTTCCTGATGGCGTCGCAGACCTTGTGGGACGATCTCCTGCAGGCAGACACGCACGGCGAGAGGTACGCCCACGTGGAACGGGCGCTGCCGGGCTACGGAACACTCCTGGGGAAGAACCTGGTGAACTGGCTCCATGCCCTCAGGCTGCTCCCCAGCAGGCCAGACGAGGACTTCCTCGCCGGGCACCCGGACGGGCCCGGCGCCGATGCCTTCCTGCAGATGCACGGGGGCGGGCGTGACTGCCTTCTGCGCCAGGTCAACGAGCTCCTGCAGGGGATCAAGACGGTCACGTGCAAGGGCCAGCCGGTCCGTGGTTGGACGACCCCAGTCCTCGATAGCGAGAGCTGCCAGTTTATGGCCTGCGCGGCCAGCCGCCTGGTCGAGGCCTTCACGAGCGGCCGTGTGCCACAGCACCTCCGCCGCAACGCCGTCGTGGCAGCCGAAGAAGCCGAGATCCTCGCGAGGTGCGCGTCCTGGACGCCCGGGGTCGAGGCGGCCGCGAGCGGCAGCGCCTGAGGGCCGCGGCGGGGAGCCCCCCCATACCCCTGCTCGCAGGCGCGGGCCGGCTGGGCGCCCTGGCAGGCGCGCAGGACGGCGCGCCCCGCCGGAGGCGAGCTGCCGCGTCGGCGCCCTGCGCCGCGGGCGCGGGCGCTGAGGCCGCCACTGAGGCCTCTGCCCGGCGGGGAGGCGGTGCGCCGCCGGGGAGGCAGAACGGCGGCCCCGGGGGCGCTGGGAGGGATTCTGGGCCGGCGGCGCGGTGGCCCAGAATCGGCTCCGGGCCGCCCCGGAGGCGCCCGCGCCGCCCCGGAGCGTGCTGGGCAGGTTTCTGGGCGGGCAGCCTGGCGGCCCAGAATCGGCCCGCCGATTCTGGGCCGGGGGGCCGGTGGCCCCGAATCGCTCCGGCCGGCGCCGGATGCGCGCGCGGGCCGGTGGCCCAGAATCGCTCCGGCCGGCCCCGGAAGCGCGCGCGGCCGCTCCAGGCACGCCAGGCGGGATTCTGGGCCGGCAGCGCGGTGGCCCAGAATCGGTCTCGCCGATTCTGGGCTGGCGGGCTGGTGGCCCAGAATCGGGCCGGCCAGCCTCGCGGCTCGTCGTCGCCGCCGCCGCCGCCGCCGCCGCCGCCGCCGCCGCCGCCGCCGCCGTCGTCGTCGTCGTCGTCGTCGTCGTCGTCGTCGTCGTCGTCGTCGTCGTCGTCGTCGTCGTCGTCGTCGTCGTCGTCGTGGCCGCCGCTGCCGCCGTCGTCGGGGTCGGTGGGGGCTCGCCCCGCTTCGGCCCCAGCCCGCGAAGCGGGCCAGCCTCAGAGCAGCAAGCAACGCGCGCCAGCGTGCGGCAAGGCTTCCGCCGCTGCTGGGGGGACAGCACCGGCGAGGGAGAAGAAAAGGGGGCGCGGGGCGGCAGGGGCGGCGCAGGCATGCGCCGACGTCTGTTGTCTGCACCTTCGCCCCTCCGCCTCCTGCTCCTGCTGCTGCTGCCGCAGCGGCTCCTGTCGTCGCCGTCGTCGTCGTCGTCGTCGTCGTCGTCGTCGTCGTCGCCGTCGTCGTCGTCGTCGTCGTCGTCGCCGTCGTCGACCCGACGCCGGCCACATACGGCGAGCCGTGCGAACCGGCCTGTGCGCTGGACGCGCCACCGTGGCGGCGACCATGGGACGCAGAGAGGGGGGCTTCCCCTGCTTCCCCCCTCCCCCCTCCTTCCCTGCCTCCCGCTCTCCTCCCCTTTCCCCGCCCGCTCTCCCTCCCTTCCTTCCTTCCCCTTTCCTCCCCCTCCTCCCTTTCTTCCCCCCCGTCCTCTCTCCCCTCCCCCCTGGCCCTTCCCCCCCTTCTGCCGCTGGGGGGGCAGCGACGGCCGGGGCCCAGGCCGGGCGCTCTATGCGCCCGGCGCCGGGCGCTCTATGCGCTTGGCAGCCCGGTGGCGTCGGGGGGGCAGCAGGGCGCCGTGGCGCACGCCGGGCGCTCTATGCGCCCGGCGCCGGGCGCTCTATGCGCCCGGCCGCCTGGTGACCCTGCCCGCCCCTCGCCCTCCCCCTTGCCGCCCCTCTCCCTTGTTCCCTCCTCCCCTTGCCCCCCCTCTCCCCTGCTCCTCCTCCTCCTCCTCCTCCTCCTCCTCCTCTTCCTCCTCCTCCGCCTCCTGGGTGCGTTTTCTCCGGTCGGCTACGCGCAACCTGTGTCGGCCCTCGTTGCGTTGCCTGTGTCACATCGAAGAGTTTAGGTGGGCACACGTTGACGTTAACGCGCGTTCCGAGGATCGTCGATAGGACCAGGGGTCTGCGGACATCACGGGCAGCGCCATGATACCCCTCTCGTGCCCCCTTTCCTCCCTCCTCCCCCCTCTTCCCTCTCCACCCCCTCCTCCCTCCTCCTCCCTCCTCCCTCCTCCCCCTCCACCACCTCCCGCCGCCGTTCCGCCCGGACCCGCAGCACGGCCTCCCGGTCGGCCGGGGGCCCTGGGGGTCGGCGGGGGTGGGGGCCCTCCTTCTCTTTCCTCCTCCCGCCGCCGTCCCGCCCGGACCCGCGGCGCGGCCTCCAGGTCGGCCGGGGGCCCAGGGGGTCGGCGGGGGTGGGGGCCTTCCTTCTCTCTCCTCCTCCCGCCGCCGTCCCGCCCGGACCCGCAGCGCGGCCTCCAGGTCGGCCGGGGGCCCATGGGGGTCGGCGGGGGTGGGGGCCCTCATTCTCTCTCCTCCTCCCGCCGCCGGCCCGCCCGGACCCGCAGCGCGGCCCCCAGGCCCGCCGGGGGCGCGGGGTTGGCGGGGGGGCCCCCCTCCTTTCCCCCCTCTCTGCCCTCCTCTCCCTCCTCCTCCCCCTCTTTCCTCCTCCTCCTCCTTCCCCTCCGCCTCCCCCATCCTCCGCCTCCTCCTCCCCCAGCTGGCCGCCGTTTTACACGAACGCTGCCAAACCCGCCGCCGCCGCCGCCGCCTGCGCCCCGCCGCGGCCGCCGGGCGCCTGCGCCGCCTGGACAGGTGAACCAATCGGGCGGCGGGGCGTTCGAGACGCGGGGGCGCCCCGACTCTCGCCACGACGGCCCGGGCGGCCGGTCTCGGGGCGCCGGGGCCCCGCGGCGAATCCTGAGCGCTCCTGCGTGGGCGCTCAGAATCCCCCGGGGCGGCCCCGGCGGCCGCGTCCGGGCTCCCCGCGATCGGTTTGGCGGAGGCGGGGCGCCCCCCCCCCCCCAGCTGAGTCGAACGGCCGTGGGGTGGCCGTGGGAGTCGCTTTGCGCAGCCTGCTCTCCCTCCCCTCCTCTGTAGCGGTGTTGGCCTTCGCGCTGCAGCTTCGGCTGCCCCTTGTAGGGCCGCGGGCACGGCCCCCTCGGGCGGCGCGCAGTGCGCGGGCATCATGGAGGCGCCAGGCACCGCGGAGCTGGCGGCCGCGGCGTCGCAGCAGTCTGCCGAATCCGCGGTGGCGGAACTGCGCGCTTGGGCGGCTCCGAGTGCTGTCCGGTGTTGCGCCGCCGCTGGCCCCCTGGAGGTCCGCGCGTTCGCGCGGGGCGCCCGGGCGCTGCTGGAGCACGTGCCGAGGGGAAGCATGGGCGGCTTGGCGCCCGAGCTCCAGGCGCGGCTCCCCTTCCACCGAGGGTTGGTGGCGGCCCTCAGGGGCGCGGAGCGGGCGGCTCAGGTGCAGGGGCGCAATGGTGGACTGGTCCATGGGCCGTGGGAGGGCGGTCTACCGGCGTCCGCTTGCCCGCCGGCGGGGGGGTCGGGGACCGTGGTGCCTGCGTCTGTGGCGGCGCCGAACGTGGGGGGCGCCTTCAGCACGCGTGCTGGCGGCGAGTCCAACGACGCGAAGATCTTTGATGTGCTCCAGGGGCTGCGTGCTGCCCAGGTGGCCGTCGCTGTGATCGGCGAGCCGCGCCTGGCCCCAGGGATGGCGTGGCCGGCCGAGGACTACGACTTCTTCGGAGAGCGTTGTGCGTCGCCAGCGTCGGTGGCCGTCCTTATCCAATCGTGCCTCCAGGCAGTCGTCGCGACCGTGCCGCAGGTGGGCGACGAACGGACCATCGGGGTTCAGTTCCCGCGCGGCGGCACGCTGGGGGCGGACGGCGGCTATCTGATCATGGGGGTGTATGCCCCGCCGCCGGGACATGGCATGGTGGTGCGCCGCCAGTCTTGGGAGGCCCGCCTGGAGGAGTGGCGCGCACTCCGGGCGCTCCCGCAGTACCGGGGTTGGCGCTTGGTCATTGCTGGGGGCGCGAACGCCCACTTCGCAGAACTTTGTGACGCGAGCGTGCGCTACGAGGGCCCCCTGGAAAGGCAGCTGCGGGCATGGGTCGCGGACCCGGCGTCCTTCGGCGTGGCCCTCTGCAATCTGCAACCCGTTGCGCACGCCCGCGCACCGCTCGGGCACCGCCAATGACATCATCGCCGCCTCCCCCGACGTCGCAGTTCGGGCCGAGGTCCTCCAGCCAGGGTTACCTGGTGGTCCCGCGGACCATGCGCGGCTACTGGTGCGGTTGCCAGGGGCGGCGCGGGGCGCGGGGGGGGCCCCCGTGGCTCGTGGGCGCTGGAGTAGGGGGGCAGACTGGGCGCCGGCCTTGGCGGTGGTCCCGCACGCGCTGGGCTTCGTCGCTGGATGGGCGGGGGCTGCGGCGCGTTGCTCGCCGCTGCGCGCTTGGCTGGCGCTAGGTTCGCGACGGGCCGTGAGGCAGGAGATGGTGGACAGGGCGGTGTGGTGGCGCTCGGCCATTTACACCCTGTGCGGGCACCTGGGCGGCCTGGCGGTAGTCGCCCTGCCCCCGCGCGGGGGTGCCGCGGCAGCCCCGCGATGCAGCCGTCGGCGGCCGCTGCAGCCGACGGGAGACGAGATCGCCGCCTTAGACGAGGAGATCGCGATGGAGGAGACCGGCGAGTTTGCTGCGGCGCGCGCGCGGCTCCTTGACCGCTACCTGACTGCGGCGGCGTCGTCGGCCGCGGAGGGCGAGGCCTTCTTGAGTCGAGTCTTGCGGCCGCGGGCCCCTGGCGCTGGCTCTTCGGCGCCCTGGGACCGGCGACCCGCTGGGGCTGGAGGCGACGCTGGACGCCGTCGCCGAGAACGTCCGCGAGCGCGCCGCGGCGGTCGGGCCAGCCGACGCGGCGGCGAGGAGGGAGGCCGACGCCGCCGTGAGGGCCATCCTTGCGAGGCGCAGGACGAGGCAGGCAGCGACGAGGCTGACGCCTTCACCCCGGGGCTCATTGAGGAGGCCATCAGCGGGGCGCGAGTGAACCGCCAGTCCCTGCACCTCCCGCGCGCGGCCGCGAGGGCGGGCTCCGCGGGGGGCCGCTGGGTCACTTGGGCGCTCCTTAATTAATGTGATGGCCGCGGGGGTGGGCGCGTCCCTCTGGGAGCGCGAGGTCGCGCCGGTCCGCAAGCGTGGCCCCCAGCTGGTGACCAATCTCTCGGACATCCGCCCCGTCTCATACGTGGACGAGCTGGAATGCCTCTTTGACGCGTGCTGGTTGGCAGTGGTTCGTGGCCCGCTAGAGCGCTTTGCAGGGCAGTGGCAGGCAGGCGGCCGCTTCGACGCAGTCCTGATGGCGGCGGGGGTCCTCATGGCACTCCAGCTGCGCCGGGCAGCGGGCCTGCGGACGCTCGTGGTGCAGGCGGA